AAATACCACAACTATGCACACCTTCTACTAAGCCCACTTCATGAGCTACACAGAGTTTGGCATTTTAGTGAGATATTTCATATGCTCAAATTATACTCAGTAGACAATGACATTTGCGTCATACGTGAACTGATGCAAGTAATACAGCTGTAATCTTAAAATGTCTATCATGCGATACTTGTTGCTTTATTGCTAACCATCTTGCAATTCTTTAACCAAGTCCTAAATGCAACTTGAAGTATTTCCGATAGTTCGTTTCCAACCACACAAAGTCCCATTGAAGCGAATGTAATTTATGTTGCACCTGTAAATTCGTATGGCTTAATCCGAATTCATGAAAGACCGCTACAGCTTTCCAAGCAGTTTCTGGTCTCCAAAAGCCATTCTTTTGTTTCCAGGTCAATCCCAAACAAAAACTCGCGTCGGAATCTACTTTATACATTTCACTAAGAAGAGGTCAACTCATTGCCAAGGTGGTGCAGAAGTCAGTGAATAATCAGAAGGCAAAGTGTCCCACGAGCGCCATAAATTTTAATAAGGCGGATATTATAGCAAGCTAGATAATGCAACTTTTACCATGCCTTAAACATGAAGGGACTTGAGGGTAAAGGCTACAAGCAAATTGCCGACTGTAGCACGTACATCGAGTCTAATAAGGCACAAAAGACGTGACAACTCATAATATGCAATTTATTCTTACTTGAGCAGTGAGCAAAATAATGGCAAAGAAGAAAATTCGAATTTGGTGCTGTTCGGTTGTGCCACCATGCCTATCAGGTATTTAGCAAAAATTCTTGGCGTTATCAAAATTATTAGTTGACCAGCTATGCTGACGGTAAAAAAAATGTAGCATCAAATAACCTTGACGATGACAGATCAAATTAGTTAATTTAAGAAACTAAAAAAACATCAAAAATCCTTGTGTGTGTTTTGGATTTAATGGAGCATAGTTGACGCCATCAACCACATACGCCTATGCAAGTAGATCTATAGATGGATGTAGAGAAATATAAGTTAAAATTTTTCTGCACAAGTTTTGCTATAAATTTTACTTCACTATGTAGTGAGAGATGATCACTTAACCATTATTTGTAACATTGGTAAATACATGCTTAAATTGACGTTTAATTGCTACCGATGTAATGCTTTGGTTGTTCGTCTGACGGTCAGTTTTAGTAAAGGGCCACTTTTTCTTGACCACTGTACCTCTCCAGGCGGGCTGGCCTCCAGTCCACGCCGGTAACCAAAGTACCTTCTGTATGTCGAATATATGCATATATTCAGTCAGAGTGCAATATCTTCTTTAGGCTTCAGGGAAGTCTCGGGACACTGCATCAAACTTCTCTACAATAATTGGGCCGCAACGACCTTCCCTTTCGGCTTCTCATCATCAAACACTATTACAGCATTGCTTCCCTCTGGCTCATCTCCTCGTACGACAATGAATTTCTCCGGTGATAATTAACAGATATTACTATTTGAGTGTCAGGCCACACATATATGTGACACGTATCCCTTAGCATGTTGCCGTTAGCAAAAAAAGATTTTTGTGGTTAGAACATTAAAAATGATGAAGAAGTGTTGTGTTTTCCGGTTTCTAATCAGGAATTAAACCTATCAAAATAATTTACCTTGATTGGCTTAACCTTTTAAGCAATTCAATGAATGAGTTGGCTTGGTGGAATTGCATTTTTAAAAGACAGAACTTTTGGTGAGCATATTAAGCCGTTTTGTTGCAGTTGCTATCTTGAGTGTCGCATTTGGCTACCCTTCATATTAATTTGCTAGAACTCAGGTTCTGTTAGCTGAACCATTCTTTCATTTGACAACAATACCACGAGTGGCATATCGAGCATACGGAAATAAATTCTCCTAAATTAATGCAGTGTGAGATGGTGAGCCCCACCCTGCAATATTTGAATTGACGACTTCCTAACAAATTGGTTAAACTTTGTTTGACTAGCTCAATCTTGAACCAAAGGCTTTTGTTGGTGTACTTTGGATTTCCTTGACTTGATGCCCTCTGCGTCAGTAAAGGGCTCTGAATCGCCATGAGAGGTTTTTTCCTTCACTTTATGAAACTCGTCTTTAGCATTCCATACTTAATGATTCCAAACCGGGTTCGAAGGGAGAGCAAGCCTAGGTTATCCAATAGATTAGTTCCCATACTACTTATTAAGGCCTTCTGCATCTGTTTTTTCCGAATATTCGAGCCCTCTGGTTAGGTTAAGTAAATAAATGAAATCAAAGAAACCGGTAGGATTGCATATGACTTAGAGAGACAAAAAAGGAGGTAGAATTCCATGGCACTTCTGCGTAATTTGTACTTTATTATAGGTCATTTGAGAATTTGAATCCCTGTCTCGAGTCGACAATCGGGAGGGTTTGTGTTTGTTTAAAGCAGGCTCAAATAATGACAGCATAAATGAGATGCACCAAGCTCTCTTTAGTGCTCTTATGGGAAAGAAAAAGGGAGTAATGTTTATCATAAGGCGATTTGGTATGAATTTCGACTTTCGAATTTTTACTACTGTCTACTCAATAGCCCATCTGAGAAGTGAATTACTCTACCCTATCACGCATAAAGCGTTCAGCATCACATGCAAAGAAGGTGACCATTGGTGAGAACTAGGTAGCTAGACAGGGAGACCTCCAGACTTCCTCAGCTAAGCTATATTATTTGGAAGGATAACCATTTCGACGGTGCAGTATTGTGTAAAGGACAATTGTTCATTAGCACCAAAAATTCTTGCTTATACTTCTGATCTTCCTCACCCACGTGCCTGCTCCTTATGCCTATTTGTGCTTTCTGTTTTAGTCTCTCCTGCATGTATATTGCCCATTCTTATAAATCCCAGGTAGGCCCCTCTATGTACTCCAATTTGCTTCACCAACCAGACACGTTTGCATTTGATGCGATGGTCGCTGCCAAAAGGTATCTAATGAAGTGGCTTTGCTTAGCTAATCAACATGCAATTCGTATGATTTACTCTCCTACCATTCGTCAGCCGCTGGATGGCTTCAATTGAGTTGGGTGTGGTAAAAATCCATTGAAAAGAAGGCACGGTAATTGTTGCGCGGCAAATCATTCCCATTTCACAAGCCTTTAAACCACTTTTTTTACCGTCTCCACCCAATTGATTATGGTGCTTCTTATCGTGATCTGAGCTGTGCCATTCACATAATGCATGGTTGAAAAGAGTCAAAAAGCAGAACTTGTAATAAAGTATGCACATAGAAATAATTCCAATACCAGTATGTGTGGCTTCTTTCTAACCAACTAAACACACAGATGACGGGGAGATGTCGGTGAAGACATAAGCCTTGGGAAGATGAGGTGTTTACAGGAAGATGTGAAAGTGGTCAAAGGTGGCTAGGTAGACTAGCACAGTTCTTTATAGCAAAAGAGCCTTCCATGTACAAGGGCTTTACTTTCAAGGCAAATAGGCTAGTCAGCATAAATTGTTGCTCGATGTGCGACACTTCATTCCACCAGCCAATCATTCAGGACATAATTTATCACTATTTATGTGACGCAGTGTGTCCTCCTACAAATTATACACTTTAGGGACTGCAAATTCTCTCATCTCATTGCGTAGTAAATGCTTTCTTAAGCAAATTTATTGGACGAATTGTTCGAATGGATTTGCTGCATGTTTATTGTGCTGCCATTCCACAGGTTCCAACTTACCCACATCTCTTGCAAGGAATGTATGGATATTTGCTGATGCTCTATTCTGCTCTCTTGTGTCTTCAAGCCAGTAAAATGAATTGGCTTAGCCGAATCGCAAGACTTCAAAAACAATGACAGATTTTCCCCACTGTCACAGTTTCATGCATTTATAATTTCAAGACGACACTTTCTGGCCCCTAATTCTAATCTCCTGAACAATGACTTTAACTTTAACAGGAGCATCATTTTAAAGTAATTGTTCCCCATCTTAACCGATGCTTTAGACAGGATTTGACAGCCATCAGCACTTGACACTGATGTGCAAATGTGAGACCGCCTAATCTTGTGTGCGACATTGGGACATGATGGGCAAATCCCGTTTGATGATGTTATTCTTGACATCGCGAAGCGTGATCTAAGGGTAGACTAAATACTGATAAAGTGGAACCGATTGAGACCAGGACATGTGGTGTGAAAAGAACAGCATATTCTATACCTGGCAGAGTTGTTGGTGGTGTAGTCTTTAGCATTTGACAGCATGCTAAAGAAGTGATAGCCACGTCAGTTATGAAATAAGTTCATCATTTGAGGAAGAAATTACTTGAGGTCACTATAACTACATTAAGTGGCACTTGAGAATTTTGCATTTTGCAGCCGCACCCAGCACTTTGAGCTATGGCTTTTGAAGAAGCTCCACCAGCAGTACCGAATGTAGAGTGAACAAGAGAAAAATTCCATTTAAATTTCAGACGGATCTCTTAAAAGCCAAATTTCTTGATTCCATCAAAGGTAAGCACGTGTATCCACACACGAATTTACATGAGTAACGTAAGTGTATAACACGCTGATTGACTTTGGAACCATGCAGCAAAACGACTCTTTCATTCTGTTTCCGTGCTTTGCCGATTCACACGAAAGGCGGTTATGACAGTCAGAAAGTAATTATCACTAAAAAGGAACATTCCCGAGTCATTACCCGGGATTTTCTATGCATTTGGATATTGTCAGTCATAGGTCAATAAATTGGCACTTCAGTGCTGCTGTAATTCCTCCATTTTACACTTAAACATGTAGCAGACACCACGGCCTACGCCAGTGCTCAATTAGAGGCGTATTTGCACCACAGCCTTCATTGTACGTCATTGTCTTCGTGTATGGAGTTGCCAGCTAATTGAAAGATGCATGAAGACCTGGCAAGTTTTTGGTTGGATGAAAGCACTTTAGTGGTGGAAATGATCTTGATGATCATCTGCAGGTAATATAAAGGGTTGCAGTGTTTGCGCTACTATTACCTACACGGACAAGCAATTGTGCATCTCGCGAAAGTATGTCAAGAGGTCCAGCCATCGGTATTGATTTAGGGACAACCTTCTCGTGCGTCGGTGTTTTTCAGAATGGCAAAGTGGAAATTATTGCCAATGATCAGGGTCACCGCATTACACCCAGTTATGTCGCCTTCACAGATAAAGAACGTCTCGTCGGTGAGGCTGCAAAGAACCAAGCTACTTTAAACCCAACTAATACGGTTTTTGATGCAAAGCGTTTGATCGGACGCCATTTCAATGATGTAGAAGTCCAAGACGACATGAGGCGTTGGCCATTCAAAGTGGTAAATTCTGCAGGGAAACCGAAGATTGAGGTAGAGTTTCGTAATGAGACAAAGAAGTTCATTGCAGAAGAGATCTCGTCCATGGTGCTGCTGAAGATGAAAGAGACAGCAGAAGCGTTTTTGGGCACGAAAGTGACAGATGCGGTAATTACAGTACCGGCATACTTCAATGATAGGCAACGACAGGCGACGATAGATGCAGGGAAAATAGCGGGTTTAAACGTGCTGCGTATCGTTAACGAGCCCACGGCAGCTGCTATCGCATATGGTTTGGACAAAAGGATCGACAGTCAGCGCAATGTGCTCGTCTTTGATTTGGGCGGTGGCACTTTCGACGTGTCCATCTTGTGCATAAAGAATGGAAGATTTGAGGTGAAATCGACTGACGGTGACACTCACTTGGGTGGCGAAGACTTTGACTCGAGAATGACTGATCACTTTGTGGAGATATTTAAGCAAAAACACGAAGGCAGGGATTTGACGACCAGCAAAAAGGCCATCAGCCGCCTGAGAAAGGCGTGTGAGACTGCAAAGAGGATGCTAAGTTCTGTCGGGTATGCAAGCATTGATGCAGAATCGCTGTTTGAGGGCATTGACTTCAGTGAAACCCTCACACGGGCCCGCTTCGAGCAGCTGTGCTTTGATCTCTTCAGTAAGACGCTGGATCCGGTAAAGAAGGCACTAAGTGATGCAAAGTTGGACAAGAATGATATCCACGAGATATTGTTGGTAGGCGGATCTACGCGTATTCCGAAGGTGCAAGAGTTATTGCAAGACTTCTTCAAAGGCAAGACGTTGAACAAGTCCATAAATGCGGACGAGGCAGTGGCATACGGTGCGGCGTTGCTGGCGGCCAATATGGCTGGCGACAAGTCAGAAGGGGCGCAGAATTTTGTGTTAGCTGAAGTGGCACCTCTCTCACTCGGTGTGGAGACGACAGGTGGTGTAATGACGACGTTGATAGAGCGCAATACGAAAATTCCGACAAGGAGGACTAAGATCTTCTCCACCTGTTCAGACAATCAATCGAGCGTGTTGGTGCAGGTGTATGAGGGTGAGCGTGCAATGACGAGTGATAACAACTTGTTGGGCAAGTTTGAGCTGTCAGGTATCCCACCAGCGCCGCGTAAGGTACCTCAGATCGAGGTGTCCTTCGATATTGATGATAATGGAATTCTTCATGTGTCGGCGGTGGACAAATCGTCAGGGAAGCAAAACAGCATCACCATCACCAAGAACAAGGGTCTTCTGTCAGAGAATGAAATGAAGCAAATGATTAATAATGCAGAAAAATTGAAGTTGGAGGATGAGAAGGAGAAGAGCAGGATGGTAGCGAAGAATATGTTGGAAAACTACATCAGTCGAATAAAATTGGAAATGAATGACGACAAAACAAAGGATAAAACACCAGAGGCGTCTCGTCAAATTATCCTTACGATATGCGAGACGACGTCCAAGTGGATGGACGTTGAACAACAGGCCACACAAGAGAACTACGAGCTAATGCACAAAAATTTGGAGACCCTGTACAGCTCCATTATATCAACGAAAAATTTCCGTTCTTGAGCATGGATATTAGAGAGGTTCTATAAACGGATTTAAAGTTTAAATCAGCCCTTTTCATTCTAACCCTGCAAAACATGGAGTAACAAAACTCGGAAATGTGATTTACTAGATGTGACTACTTAATCCTAACCCATTATCATTTGTAAATCATTTTGCATTTTGGTGACTTCTTACATAAGCATTCAGTAAGGCCCTCCTGCAGCCACCTAGCTATTAATTTACCTATCTACCTGCATCTTTACTCACCCCATCATTCACTGTCTCCAAACTTGCCCTTAGTCTGCTAAGTTTCCAAAGCGGACGTCAGTGATCACCTCATCGCATATTTTCAAGTGAGCACTCTAGGCCTTTCCATAATTTGCCCTCTCATAACCTCAAAGTTTAAGTACCTTCATTTTAAACTACCCTCTTATTGCTCACAAGTAGTTATGTTCAGCTGTTTATATTGAGGATGTAAATTGTAAATGACTAACTTAGCGTCACGATTTACCGGTTCCTCGTTCCATCGACAAATGGTGAATGACTTGGAAGTGGAGGAGTCCCACATTAATTGCTCGTCATCGTTAAGGTTGGGGACACAGCTCGGTCTATCTGCAACAAGGCAGGATGGGTAGAAGTCCACGCTATACGGACTGGTCATGGTATTTGAAGGCCATCTTTCGGCACCTGGGTAAGAGATTTGTGCTCCAGTGAGTGATTGTACAATATTCTTTACCTCAGCCTCACGTCATACCAGTTCCCGTATCGATGATAATAAGTGTGTCATCAAACTTGATCAGGACAACCTAAGTAAAGAATGGGAATTTCAAGGGTAACATACTCAACCATGATTTGCAAATCATTTTTTAAAACGCATAAAATTAGGCTGTTACACGTATTGCGTTAATGTTAAGTGCTGATGGCTACCAAGGGTTCGTTAGCATATCATTTCCAAGGCATCAGAAAATTGTGGGAAGCAGATCTTTCAAGGAGCTGCTCTTCTTGGCGTTAAATGGATTGTTCATGTGTTTAGGACTGGCGATTCGAAAAGCCGAATTAAGTCACTGCGTCATTTTCGGGGTTGATGCTGGGGTAATTACATTCTATTATCACACTCTAACTTTTGTGGAAAGAAGAGATTGTTGATGGAAATGCTGTTTTTAGTGCTATATTCATTTCAATTTTTGATATCAGCTCTTGTAAGGTGATTACCTTCATTGCGTAAATAGCACCGAGTTTATCTACTCCCAATAATGCAACAGTCAGGGTGGAGGAGCAACTGGTGTAGCTTTAATTGCAGTCCTACAAAGGTGGATGTCGCATATCATTCGGAACAAAAAAAATTGCTCATACCTTATTTATCATCGGTTCAGCCCTTAATAATAGTAGTAGTCAGCGGTAGACTTGACGACGAGCTTCACACTATCATTCCTTGCCACTATTACAAGCTAAGGAGTACGCTGAAGAGAATTGCTTAAAGAAAAATTGTATATTGCTAAAAGTGACATAGTCTAACAGATGATTGCGTAATGCATTGTTAGAAGAGTTGAATGTCCCCTTCCTTTTCGATTAAAGTTTTCATACAGTGACAGCTCTTTCACTGAGGCAGTACGCTAACCTACCCAACAGTTTCAAACCACTACTACATCTTTCTACACCTTCTCTGATCACCAAATTTAGCATTACAATCAGGCAAGCGACGGCAATAAAAAATGTGACGGCTGTTGTTGCACTTGCTTCCAAAGACGCCTTTGTCACGACTAAGTCGAATGAAACCACTCAGGAGCTGATGAAACGTAGGAGTGAATATGATACGAATCACACGTTGGTTGGCTGCACAAAGCCACTATTGAACTGCCTTCTTTAGCAAATGGATTTTGTTAATGAAACAAATATTAATATATGGGACAGCATACCTAAAATATGTAAGAACGTGTGAGATACATAGAGGAGAGATCGAAACAAAAAACAGGGAAGCAAAACATATTTGGATGGATGGATTTGGTACGTAGGTCAAAAGAGAGCTGAGGTATGGCTGAAATTGTTCAGTACTAATGCGCAACCACCTTCTGTAAAATATTGAGCAGTCAAGGTAGTCATCATTTCAAATTTGTTAGCCGAATTCACTAAGAGATTGGTGGCTATAGTCAGGGGAAGCTCTGTCCACTTGTAATGTTATGTGAAATGGTAGTCTTTTTTACAAATGAAAGCAAGCGCTTTATTCATGATTGTGTAAGTTTAGTTTCACATATAGAATATTAATGAGTAGATAGTAATAATTGATTTAAAGGTCTTAAAGTACTCCGATTTAAAACTACCATTCCCAAGCTCTCCTTCCTTTGATGCTAAACATTATTTGTAAGTACAGTCATATACCAATATTAAAATACTTTAAAATCGCAATTTTGACATTATTCTTCGAGGCTGATCCAAACAAGCACGTATTGGTTTTCCCATCATCGAATAGAAACGGTGTTTTAATTTGTTCAGGAAACTCTAGTAAAGCACAAAGTGTGAAAAAGCATCCTAGAGTTTTACCTCCCATTCTTCCTCTTCTGTCCATGTTACTTTAAGTCCCACTAATCATTTGCCTTAATCAGAGACTCGAGTGTGGCTGAAAGAAGAATTGGAAAAATTAAGACTACTATCAGCTTATGTATAGCCGTGATATTTCAACGAAGTTCAGCACTCAGTCGTCTGCACTTACTGCATAGCCAGTGGGCTAGAAATTTTGTAGATTTATGCACATCCTGCAGGGAGAACTCAAGGTGCTAATGTGCGAAAGATCAGTCTAATACTTGGAGGTTCCTATGAGTCCTCAATCAACAAACTGACTATATTTGCTAATAATGGATCCACAAATTAAAAACACCTTTCCAATGAGCGTATCTTTTCTTAATATTGAATACATTGCAGGAGAGATACGACATGAAGAGATGTCTTGTGATGGGATTTGGAAGAACCAGGCATCGAATAAAGCAGTTTACCTCATTCTGATCCGCACACCACCACTCATCCACAAACACATATGTACTTCCTGGTCGGTGTCATGTGGCGGTGTCAGTAGCCCTGCTTTTTATAATCCACTGCCACGTCGGTGATGAGGAGGTCGAGACAAGAGTTAAGACGAGATGCAGGTGGTTTTAATGAAGTAGCGAATTAGGGACACGCAGATGGCCGGTGGGAGGATGACACAGAGGAAAGGAGAGGCGAGTATCAGTGCACATTGAAGCAAGATGGGGTGAGTGCACAGCCGTAGCAATGTGTTGGCGGCTTGTGAGTTAGGATAAAAACCCAAGTTAAATATGAAGTATCAAAAATAGAAAGACGCGTTGATCGCCTGTGGCCTTACACCTAATGTAAGTATTATAACCACTCATACCAGTTCGAAATGATCCAACCCAGGGCGTAACGGACAGCAGGCTCTGCTCCCCAACATGAGTATACATTATTCTCAAGCGCTGGGGAAACATGTTGCTACTGATCCTGATTGTGTTCCTACTTCTTACGATACCATGTCAATTTAAATTGCTTTATGTGGAACTGTTGCTGATGTGCCTATTGTCTGCTAATTTTGTTACAGTGGTCAGATGCTTTTGTGCATCTCGAAGGAGGAAGTGTTGTAGGATATTTCATAGAGCGTAAAATGACAGACTCAATAAGGCATTGATAAGAGGGTGGGTTTTGAGATGCTAAAGGGTAATGTAAATAAATGAGCTAACGAATTGTTAAAGGAGCTCATTAGCCTTTATAAAAATTAAATGCAGTTTGGAGGACCTGGCAATCTTAAATTCACAAATGAGTTTTTAGTCATCTATCACTTGTCAAAGAAAACAAAATGAGTCTTATTGTACAATTTCAATATCCTGATTGTTTGTTTATTCTTTACTTTGAATCCACTGACTTAAGGCTCAAGACAATGTACCCTCACTACTACCGACTTTTCTAAAGTTTAATAGATACAGTACTAGGCTGGAATATGCATTTCCGAAGTAGGGAAGGCCTGAGAGCTACTGGCATGGCCCATAAACCAGGCTGTCCAGCGAAAACACATGAGTGGAGCATTTTTTCCCTTGTAACCAAGACGAATAGTTAAACGATAAAATGAAGTCTTTTGTAATGTTCTACTTCCAAAGTGACAAATGAAGTGGCTGAAAAACTGTGCCGCTAACAGCCGACCTCGCAACTGACCTATTAAAGCGAAGTATTAATGTATAATTTCCTTCTTACCTACTAAGGTGGACACGATTGTACTTAAATTACTACACAAATGGACAACATAATAGACGTGTAACTGTTTTCCTTTATATCTGACAAAAATTAATGTCAATTTGTGGAAAAATAACACCATAGGCATTAAGCCACTCATTTCCATTCCACTAAACAAATTGAATAAATGTTTATTTACCATGCAAATGAGCGTGATTTAAAATGCTCAACTGTTGTTTGTGCAGCAGCAGACCGTGCAGTGCTTGCTTATTAAAAGAAAAGGACTATTCCTCAACGATTTTCCACTTGGAGAGTACGGTTGCAGCTCCAGTATTCAAAGAAACCCTGCCCACTTTATCTCCTCTATTTGTTGCATGCTTCTTTTCCGTCGTATTTAAATCTGCCCATTTTTTAAGAAATTTGTGGATTTCTTTCATTTTACAAAAAATCTAATTAAGATGGGCATCCGATGAAGATAAAGTTGCTTAGACCATAGCTATACCTCCCCACTACATTTCAATCAACTTACCATCTTAGTACGCCCATTTGCAGTACAAGCACTCCGCATTCCACTTACACTGCTGATGGTTTACTTTTAAAATGCCTTCAATTTTGGAGGAATATGTGCTCCAACTAAATTTTTCCACAGCTATATTTTGCAGCATCCGAAATCAAGTCAATTTTAAGAAGGAGGTTTTTCTTCTCACTGTTGGTGAAAACTTATGTGGCTCATAACCAGGGTCAGGTAATTTAAGCCATTTGTGGAGAACACACTACTCTTACACATTCCTCAAATTCCTATCTAACAAAAATTAATCAACGATTCCTACTTAACAATGCTGCATTTCTGATACCAGCGTTTTACATAAATCATAACATCACAGAAGAAGGACGATTGCTGTGGATGACTGAACTTCCGGAGTCACGACCTACTGAGGTTATAAAATTCATATTCCATCTCGGCGCATAACACAACAATGTGTTTTGTAAGATAGTGTTCGATGAATCAAACGGTGCCCCAACCAAGCGAAGTGCACAACTTCTGCTATGAAAGCAATTTGACCCCACACCAGAAAATGAAAGAGGTACATACAAACATTTCTGTGTGTAAGGCAGAAATTGGCATGCACGCATAAACTCGTGCCTAGATTCTTCTGACAGCACTGGTGAAGGTATGCGCCTGTCAATTACACCTTGTGACCTTTGCACTGTAACAAATCGGAGTAGCCTAGGCAAATTTATCAGTGATATCTGTTTCGCTTAACATCTCTCATTATCATCTATCGTCTCTCGTGAAGATGGCGCTGGTCGGTTGAATTTTTAGAGCACACTGCCAGTGGCATCAAGATGGGGTTTATTGTACATTTAAATCACCCCCATTGATAACTTTTTGAGGGATCAGTCACAAGAAAGTGGAGCAGTAGGATGTAAAATAAGGTAACCAACTAAATTTTTTGTCATCTCAAAGGCAGTTTTGTCATTTAGGTGACCAACAATACCCCCTAATATAAAAGAAAATATGTTGGTGCTTTTTACAAGACACAATTAACTTGTAAGTTGTCCAGATCACATAAGAGGGTTGACTGATACTGCAACCTGGATCAGGAATACCAACATCACTTTCACTGATCTTAATTAAAACGGTCTGGACGCAGTACACAGTTCGATGCAGCAGTGATGGCAAGTATGAAGGGGAATCATGTCACACGTCTGTATCGTTTGTGGCAAACAAAACTTCTCCTTGCCTCACCTATTGCAATTACTAGATCTTCATTTCAGTATGCTTCATCCAAAATGAATTTACCGCCACACTGACAATGCCAGTTTATTAAAAAGCAGTGGCTCACACAGATCACGATTTGCAGATATTGTGATGCTGCAAGTAGTAAAAGTGTTGAGGCAGCAGTAAAAAACACACAGAAACAAATCCACCACAACAATATCATTACTCAGCAAGAGAACAATTGCGCTCTAGGCAGTCAAACTCAATTTAGCTGGTCGCTTGAGATACGAGAAAAGTAAATTTTTACCGAATATTCGATTTGCCAAAAATGCGTTAATAGTTGTGTCACTTTTAACCCCTTGTACAAAAAATACAGCAATTCTATTCTTGCAGATTTTAAGTGATCGCCAATATTCGTTATCTTCACAAGCATGATACTATATAGCCGTATTTCCTCAGTAACTCGAAAAAGTACCATAGTAAATATGAGAGATCTAACACAGATTTTCCTTGTACATATTATATGTCTCAGAATGCCTTGCTCTTTCGTCTTAATTTTCTCACTAATTACTTACGCGTTTACTTTATAATAGGTGGTGCAAACTGAATTGAATATCTACCAATTAAGTAACACGTTTGCTACCATTGACACGAGCGTACTGCGCGGTTTGGCATGCTTTTCGTTTCTCATGACTTGTACATTGATTCGTGTGTCATGTCCAAATCTGATTTGGTTAGCTTCGCACCCATTTGGGTGCATTCTACTGATATCCACCCAATTATACTACCCATTGCTATTTACATTCACACGAGGTACCAATACACTCACTTATTTGATGTGGTAACAGTGCATATTTTTCATTTTCGCGACACTTTGAGTTCTCTTTTAGGTGAAAAACCTAAAATGCGACTAATTATTTAAGAATGGAATGGATAAAAGGCCTACTCGAATGTCCTGAACTGCATGGATTGTAAAGCCTGCTTCAATGCATATGCATTATGGTATCTCGTCGTCAACCATTCCATTTGGGTTTCGTCCCAGTTTGGCTCTTGATTTCTTTTTGGTTTCCTACATCAAAAAGTGGTCTCTTCTGCCGCTACCGCTCACGCGCTTGAGATGATAGGGGCTATATTTATTTGGATGTCATGCAGACATTTGATCGGAACATTATAAGTCTTCTTTGTAAATTTCGTGTATTTTAAAATGTTGTCCTCGTTGGAAATTACATTACTGGAGAATTTGTGAAAACGAATGTGAATGATGTCCTACAACGAGGGCCCTTTAATTATCTGCCACTATTTATGCCAGCAGTTGCCCAAAGCAGAACCATCTACATCTTTATGTAATTCCTACACTTTTATGTAAGTAATGCTAACTGTTTCATAATGTGGTTACATCTCGGTTTTTGACTGCCATCCTACGAACAGCCGTAGTGTGTTGCGACTTCCAAAGCTTCGGTGTCAGCATCAATGATTCGCCTTCTATAGTGTCAAAGTTTTGGTAAGGCATGTTTGTTCAGACACAAGTGGAACTCTCCGAGTCTTCCTTCAGTTTCAGGACACATCGGCAAGATGCATTTGTTATTAACTTACCGAAAAGTTACAAAGTTAAGATAAAAACAACTAGCACTTTTTGAAAGATAGTATCTTGATTAAGGTTCGGGAGTAGATGAAATGATCTAAATTATCTGACTCATTTTATGAATCATGATTTAAGATTTTACCACTTTTAGATAGGAATAAGCTCCATATTTTCTTGAAATGCAATTCAGGTTCTTAGTCGTTCAATTGTTCATCCATAAAATGAGGTGGTTACACCAATTCCAGTTTTCATAAGGCCTTATTTTTTCCAAATTTCGTGACTCCTGACATTCCTTGGAGCTCGCCTCAGTGGCAGCCGCTTACACAAGCTCATAATAAACAAAGAATGGTCACATGGAGGAACTAGTAGCAAATACGCATAACTTAGCAATATATGAAGCAGGTCACCTAAAACAGGCAGTCCCTTTAATGGAAGTTCTATAATTATACAACACAGTTAAATTGTCTATGATTTTGTATTTCAAAGATTGTCTATAATGAGTCTTTTCAGTTTATGCTCTTTCACATAATTGTATTTTTAAGTTTTGAGCAGAATTTAAACCAAACCGAACTATTAGTGATATTGTTGATATTATTTAAACAAAGCAATGACTAAGGCGTTGTGATTGACTTTCCTGTCAGACAGACCTTAGTTAAGAATATATTAAACAAAACTACTACATCTGCTATCTTGAGCACCGCCTTTCGCATCCGTTGGCATGGAATTACTTGAACTCAGGTTCTGTTCGCTGATTCATTCTTTTATGTGACCTCATTTCCACAAATAGTCCATGAAACATCCATAAACTGGATCATCTGGAATTCATTCAGTGAAAGAATTTAATTCTGTTAGTTTTAAGACATGAGTAATTTGTAAAAGCGTCATCGATAAAGAGAGGCGCTGAGCCAGCAAATCATTCGCACTTAACTAGAGGCATCACCGGTAAAATGATTGAGTAGATTCTAAACATAGAAGATAGTGGAAGCTGCATCTCCAATATTATTGATGTCAACTGGTCTACCTGTGCTGACTTGAAGATTGTGTGCAAATACTAGGGGAATGAATACCGTCCCAACTTTGATTTCCACATGCACTCCTATCACCATGAGTACTTCCTCCCAAGCCATCTATCTCCGTGTTGATGGCCCAATTATCATCTCTTCGCCTCAACTTCGACACAAATGCTCCTTTTACGTTTTTATAAATACACAATCAAAGTGTACTTACAAAGGCAAGCATCTACCTGCTCAGGAAATAAAGGAACTATTTATTGATAGGACTTGTCGACTGATGTGAGGTAGGCAACACAGGCATCTCTGATAGAATTCTCCGCCAAATCGCTTTATCGCCACCCGTTCTTCTTGGCATTTAAGTCAGCTGGACTAGCATCATTTTTCCACTTATATTTAGTGATTATTTTACACCGTTTTGCTGCGTGTGAAACCAGCTATAACGATTATGAAGTGTGCTCTAATCACATCTCAGTAAACCTAGCACACTCTGACATCCACTACACTGTTTCGTATATTTAGGTCCAAGTCATGACCTGATGGAATGCTGAAATTATCTTCTCCTAATGATAGCAACTCAGTGCTCACCCTTTCTTCCACAAAAAGGCCAAACAATCGTAATTAGTCTACCTTTCTATCCCTCCATTTGCCCGCATGACTTTGTAGCCACTTGCAGGAGTCAGCGTAGGGTACCAATTGGTAGAGTTTGATATTGCATTTATGTTTTGATGAAAGATTACGGCAAATTATTATGCTCTAAAGAAATTGGCTGTAGAAAAAGAATCCGAGTTGGAATTAGTGTTAAAATTAGAGTTACACTGCATTAATCTGTCTATCATTAGGATACAACGAAAGCAATCTAGAAAATTGCATAATGCCAAATGAACTAACTAAGCAACTGATTGGCAAAAAAGCAACAAAGTAGCCAGCTTTTATTCCCGTGCTGAACCCCAAAGTCGTGTTTGTTGATGGGGAATGGACGTATATATAGAGGCAAGCCTGTCTGTATTGGACTCAAGGATAGGTACTGCAACAAAATAAATTGAAATTTCCTTTGCCTAAGAAAGAGGAAAAGGAGTGAGGCCAATTGTGGTGCTGAGGGTATAACACATATTGACACATTGCAAAACACCTATGCATGGTACGCTGGCTAAATGGAGCTAGAAGAAACGCAGGGAAATGCAGCCTGCATTACGACTGGAAACACACAGCTGGCAAGGCATAGTGTGCACAAGCACGAACTTGTACAGGAGCCCCCAGGAAATCCACTTTTACGATTATAAAGCAAGCGTATTGTACGAATGATTTACAATGACCACGTTAAAGAAGCACGAAATGACCACTTGCCTACTTAGTTTTAACAAATCCTTTTGAATGGCATAAGCAGTAACAGCTTCTTCAAAATGGACCGAAAATTGCTCCGATTTCGAAAGGAGAAACGAACCAGACAGTCAGTTGATCAGAAATGTGGCAGCAGTTAATAGAGCGTAATATAGAAAATTTCACTAATTTTCATCCAATTCAAAAGTTCTCACAAAATTTACCCAATCTTAATGAACTGCGTATTAATAAGTAGCTCTCAGTAGTCGATTTATTGGGCAAATCCACTTATGTGTGATGTAGGTGTGGTTGAAATGGAGCACCGATGGCCACCATGATTAACTAATTTGTGAACTTCAAAGGGGATTCAAATTGGCAAACATTTTCTACATTCTATGCTCTTAAACGGTTTTTTTCTTTCCGTTTTACATAAAAACAGTTTAATTGAGGTGAATAACAACCGCTTCTATATGGAGGCAGATTTGTGTGTAGCCAAAAAGCTTTAACACAAAAATTCGTCTCCTGGAGACACCTTATCCTCAAAATGTTTTATAATGACATACCATAACTTTGGCATCGACGGTTAAAGTGAGGCAGAAACCTTAAATTCAGCCAGTTCAAGCAGTCAACCCACCACACGGAAACTCAGTCCGTGCAAACCCGTCCTACGTCCATACAGACAGCAAATACCAATGTTAAACAGAAGAGAACGATTCCTTACATTTTTCTGGCACTGGGAGGTATGGTACTGTCAAGTTCAGCTCTGTTCCCAGTCTCAGCCCCAACCTTTTTCGGCCAGCCCAACCCCCCAAATATTACAAGTGTAACACACCCTGTGCTGAAACGTTAGGTACAAGGATAGGTTCTGTTGACCCAACCAGCTAGCTCCCAAGGCGATAAAAACAAGCACCGTAGGAATTGGTCGAAACGTGCTTGACCAATCTTCACATCAAGCCAGCATGATGAACATCTTCCGAATTATCGTAACTGGTGATCAAAGTTTCATCACCGTCCCGGTCAATGACTGTTCAGCACGACTACTGCCGAACACTGGCTCCTCCATCAACGTGACGTCAAAGAACGGTAACGCGATCGTCAATCCTGCTTAACCCATGCTTTCACATTGCGTTGTATAATCACTAATAGATTTGAATTGATCAATTCTAAATCCACGCTAGGACCATGGGGACCGGCACTAGATAAGCCCTGGTCACAAATTCACCTTAACTTCTCCGACTAAATCTATGGCATTTCCCTCCTTTTTTGGGTGGGTGCATTTTAAAAGAGGCTGGAAGTAACACCCATGGTTCCGCTTGCTGACATCGAGATGTCAAACCAACCACAGTTAGCTACACACATTTGCTCTACTGCACTTTGCTCTGATTACAACAGGCAAGCGGAGGAGTTTGTTGGCACGCTTAAGCGAGCATTACCAAGACTACGAGGAGAAGGGCCGACCATTCTTTTCTAGGATGCTTTATACCGATATAACCGACAGCGCGGAATGATTGTGTCGAATCAATAGGCAAGGCTATCACGAAACAAATGGATGTAATCGACGATTATGGCTGTAGTTTATAGACTTTGGTCGGCAAAACGGATATATTTAGTAAGTGGATGCAAACACCAACTGGCATTTTTCGGAAGAAAATCTGCATGTGCAGCCCTAGTATCATCGACAAATGAATATCGACAAAAGTTTGAAAACGTCTAAGGTATGTGTGCAAACCTTCCTAAATTATTTTTTGGGATATAGCCGCAAAACTGTTCAGTTCAATTAATGTAAATTCACCATAATCCAAATTTTGGCGTTCTGTTCAAAATATCCCTAATTATTGTCGTAGAATAGAATTACTGCATTTTCATCAAATTCTTATTATTTGTTTTTAAAATTAAGTTCTGATAATGCAGAGGGTTCAGTGTTTGCCTTTCCCCAGCAGTACCTGTTTATCTGTTTATCGATATGTTTGCATCCCATAAAATTGTATGATGAGGGATCTTTCCTATCCACTAGAAGTGTGTCAATTGTTGACAATTCTTTTATTCGAGATCTTTAGGACTCTTTGTGAAGAGTAGTGCATCACATTTTTGAGTGTCTGTCTTGCCTGTGACTTTTTCTTCAACTCCATTGTAGTCCATCATCTCACCCACTTTTCAAATCAGCCAACCAACAAGCCTTGTGTAGCGTCCCGA